GCCGTGCGCGAAGGCCGACAAGTGTAGGGCGAGGACCCGTCCATCGTCGCTTGCGGCTTTAATATTAATTATAATTGTAACAGATGTATTAATGTACATTCACAAAAAGTACACTGAAAACATTTAATGCAGTATTGTGACACTGAACAAATACTACAGTCCCTGGTTTTGTCTCAGTGAACCGAAAATATTGAAATGAAGTCTGATTTTTGACTTATTTTCTACTTTTAATTTGGGTTTCTATGCATTCTGATTGTTGTTCATTTGTCTTTCATGTATGCATTTTGTTTAATTTATTGTAGCTTGTATTTATTCTGTCCTGTTTGTTTCAGGATAAACTTATTTAGAGACGCTGCAGGAACAGTTTCATCATCAGCGTGTGTAATCATGTGTTTACACGCCCTCTAGTGGACATAGTACATAACTACAATCACGTATTTTATTTTGAACTAGTGATCGGAAGTCCTGTCTTGAGGTACTTATTTCCACACATTCCTAAGTATAAGTACAAGTTGATAAATTCCATACTTTGTGTGGGAATGTTCGTACGCGCTCGTTACGCACACATCTGTACATACTGATGATAAATGAGGTCACTGGAATCAACATGTCTGACATTCTTCCAAGTGTCCACAGATGTTACTAACACTGGATAAAACGGAGGCTCCACAATCTATAGGTATTAAACTATTTACATTTTTCCAAACCATTTTTTCATCTAAACTCTGCTCATCAGCTGTAGAAAGATGTTCCACCATGCTGAATGTATCTTCCAACTGCTTGCTCCTCTGTTCACTGATCCAGTATGTTATATTTGATCCTTTTTTTTGCATTTTAAAATGAGATGTGTAAAATAAAATGACATAAAAATCACAATTACAAGTTCAGATTTGATCTTTCTTTTTTTTTTTTTCCCGTTAATAAGGATGAGACATTCAAGGTCCATCACAGAGCTGCAAATCTGTTGATTCTTTCTGTTTTTATGGTTTCTGGCTGATAATTATTATATGATAGACTTATTTTGGAGATTTTATATATATATATTTTTTTAGATAACTCGTCTTTGAAACCTGCTGGTAGGTTTTGGGTTCAAAGTCTTAAATGTGAGCGTGTTGCTGCCACATCAGGTAAAAAAAAACCATCAAGTTCCTGTTCTAAATGCGAAAAGTTTATTGATATATGAAGATAAATTACAACAAATATAATAGAACAAGAAACATGTCCTGTTCTAACAAAACAAACGTGTCTACCACAGCCCTCAGCGCCTCTTCAGCTGCAGCCTCTGGATGCTGCTTCGTTCTTCTTTGTCTGCTGCAGCGTCGCAGTGCCACTCAGTTCTTCTTCTTTTTCTTCTTGTTCATCAGCTGCAGCGTCGCAGTGCCGCTCACCGACAGTCCTCCGTTCAGCAGTCCTGCAGCTTTCACCGTTTTGTAGGCGACAGACTTGGGGATGCGTTGTCCTTTCAGAGAGACGATGTGAGGAAGCAGCGCCGGCTTTCTCACATCGAAACCTGCCGTCTGCGGACCGTGAACCTTCAACAGCAGCTGATCGCCCTCCGCCGCCGTTACTGCCACCCAGCCTGCACAGCAACACAGACAGGTGAGACAGATGGGGAAGGCAGAGGGACAGGTGAGACAGAAGGACAGACAGTGACAGGTGTACGTACCAGCAGATGACAGCGTGATGTCAGCAGCAGCCTCCAGGTGTCCTCGTCCCTTGACTCTGACCTCCTGGGGAACCAACACTGGAAACTCCTTCATCCTCTCAGACCCTCCGACAGGCACCTGAATGCACCAATAGACCATGTGACCCCTCCAGCCATATGACCCCTCCTACCATATGACCCCTCCAATCATGTTACTCACCCCCAGCAAGACTTGTCCTGCATGCTTCTCGTAGATGCCGTCGGCTTTTTCTAGGATGGTGACGTGGACCGGGACCCGACTTGAGGCCATGACTGAGAACCAGCAGGACGTCGGTCCCTGCAGAAGACACCGTCAGCTGATCAATAACCCACCAATCAGAAAGAAGACAAGACTTGTCAATCTGACCATTTAAATCAGCAGCACAATCATCTGAATTAAAAAGAAGAAAACTATCAACAAACATCATTTCCTCAGCACCTTTTGCACTCATGCAGCATCATATCGTCACACTCCCACTTTTATGCTTCACTGTCAGGACTACATGGTCAGGACAGACACAAAACGACCACAAAGAGACCCACAAAAACCACAAGGAGACAGAAAATGCCTCTGTGCTTCACTGTCAGGACTATTCATTCACTGCGGTAGTCCTGGCCTTGTCCTGGGTCTCAACATTCATTGGGCTTCTTTTAAGGTTCTCGAGCAATCTTTCATCTGGAATTTTTGTTTCGAACACCAACAAGTGGTTATTTTTCTTGAGGTTACGAAGTGTCCTTTCTATCAGTGTGGTCCATCGTTCTGACCTGCAGGTAGTCGATCCTGGCGAGCGCTCCAATGAACAAACTCGTCCCGGGCTTCAACACAAACGTTCGCGGGACGATGGCCTGCGTGGGAACCACCAACCTCACCTCGTGTTCGCTGAGCAGGCTGAGGATCTGGGCGAGAGACATTCACACGGTAAGATTGAGAGAGACAGAGGTGGAGGATGTCAAGCACTGAAGACATGATTACGGCATCATGTGGACATTAAAACATGAGGTTCAGTGTTAAACAGCTAAGAATAAGTGTGGACACGTTTCTCATGCAGCTGATAGTGATTCTTCAATCTAAACCTGGACGTTGTTTAGTCTTTAACCCTCTGAACTCCTGCACCATTTTTCAATACTGAAAGCTAATTTTTTCCTCAATGATTCAAATTTGTACAAGAAAAATGTATTTAATTTACCAGCCGTGCTAAGAAGGGAACAGTATTGTGGTTTTAAAGAATCTAGTTACAACAAATGCTTTATTTTTGATCAGTTTTACAGTGAAGAGTTTGCATGTTCTCCCCGTGCAGCGTGGGTTCTCTCCGGGTTCTCCGGCTTCCTCCCACAGTCCAAAAACATGTTGAGGTTAATTGGTGATTGTAAATTGTCTGTAGGTGTGAATGTGAGTGTGCTTGGTTGTCTGTCTCTAAGTGTAGCCCTGTGATAGGCTGGTTACCTGTCCAGGTGAACCTGCCTTCACCCTGAGCCCCCGTTTACACGCAGCAAAAACGGTGATATTTCAATGCGTTTACAGGTAAACGAAGCTACAAGTCACCGAAGACAATCATATCTGACAACTCCAGCCAAAGTAGAGATTTGGAAAAAGTCTGTCTTTACGTTTGCATGTAGACGGGAGGAGACGGAGTTTGACGTCACAGTATGCGACAAAAGCATCTTCAATGTTGTATGCGTGGGATCATGTTTACAGTTTGGCTACTGTGATAGATGGTTTTTTCCATGATGGAACCACATGATGATTAGTTCAAGGACTGTTGGAAAGTTGATAACCAGCTGCTGCTGCAACAAGCTTTAACTGCGTGCGATGAAATTGACGGTGAAACAGGTCAAATGATCTCACATCGAGCTCCTTCATGATTCCCGGCGTGTCGTACAGCCAGTGTGCGTCCTTCAGCTCGTTGTGGGTGAACTCGACACTCGGCCTGCTGGGAGCTGGAAGGTCACACAGAGGTCAGAGTTACGGCCCTCACAGTGCATAGGAGGGTCCAAGTTACACACTTTTTAATGTAATTTTTCCACAGTTTCTGGGCCTTAATGCTTAATGAATACAGGAGATAGATGTGACAATATTCAGGGTGAAAATCACATTTGAGTTCTGGTACAACAACAACAACAACAACAACAAAAAGATCAGAATCAAATCAGTTCTATATCCATCCAGGTGTCATAATCTAAAGATGAAATGTGTTTTTGTACAGCAGCATTTTCTCTATAACCACCTTTGAGCATCAGTATTATGGGATGTATCATAGTGTGAACAGTAAAACTGCAGCAGTTTAATGACGATGACATAGAGTCATAGAAACAATCAGTGGATGTGTTTCTGGTTTCTGATGACTGGTGGAGTGACTGTGATGGTGGTTGGTCAGAACAAGTTATGAAAGGATCATTTTTACACACATTTGATACGAGGAGCATCTTCTGGACATGAGTCACTCTGTGTCAATACAACTTTCTAATACAGTCACATTTTAACTGCTGAATTTATCTCTTGACTGTAAAATGTAGAAACAACTTTGGTGTTCACATGTTTTACAGGTTTGGACAAATCACACTGATCAAACCGGTTTGCATCATCCAGAACTTGTTCGAGTCTTTCAGATTCTCCTCAGATAGTTCAGTCTTTCTGTCGACCTGTTTCAGTCCTCAGATTGTGATGATTTGTAATCTTTGTTTCCAACACTACACCAGAAAATGAGGCTTATCAGCGTTTTAATTTATTCAGGAAGTAGGATCTCAAAATGTCCATTTTGTGACTGTTAAAATATCACAACAGAGCAGAACCAGCTGAAGAAAGACAATTAATAAACTGGTTAGTTTCCCTGGTGATGGACTGAAGGACAGAAGTGAACAGATCTTCCAGAAACTGACGGCACATCTACCAGTCCTGGGAGAAATGTCTAAGTTTACTGAAAAGGCACAGTTAGCACAAGAGGGCAACAAATGACCAATACAGAAGTTACAAACACTAAAATCTGAGACAGATAACTCCAGGAGGCTTGTTTCTGTCTGGACCAGCCAGGCAGAAACAAGAGGACTGAAAATCAGATCAGACAGGGAAGTAACCCAACCCAGACAGAGGATTCATCTCCTCAGCAGGTACCAGGACTGGACGTCATCACAGCTGCACAATCAGCCATTAGAAACCACAACCTGCTAGAAGCCCATCATACTATCAGCTTTATCCTGGAGGAAACCCTCCATGAATACATGGACGTTCCAAAGGTGGAGAAGGAAGGAGCTCCACTCAGACCACCAGCAGCAGCTCAGTCGCCTGTAACGCTGCAGAACACCAGGCCTCCATCTGAGCTCCACAGCTCTGCTGGTTTATGTCAGATCTCTGCTCACCTGTCGCTGTCGACTCTCCGCCTTCTCCAAACGCCAAACTGTCAGGATCGAACTGGATCTCGTCCAGTGGGGGTGTGTTGGTCCGGAACGTCTTGCCGACCCGACCCACCAAGTAGCCCTGTCTGCTGAGACGCTGCAGCTGCTGCAGCTCGTCCTGCGACAGCTCCGCCTCCGTCTGCTGCGACGCCTCCTGCAGACGCTGCCGCCGCTGGAACATCCTGTATGGAGTCGGGTTGATGATGGGAAACTTCAGCAGGTTCAGAGTCGTCCCTGAACGCAACACGACGGTAATGAAAGCAGAGAGAGACAGACATGAAGCAAGTGAATGTCTGGACTTCAAATGAGGCAATAATTCAACAGGATATGAAGCAACATCCAAACACTAGGAGCTGAAAACTAAAATGAGCTGCTGGAGATATACATGGCAGATTTTATTAAACCTCTGAACTCAAAACATGCCGAAAAATCTCCAAACATGTATCAGCCAGAAACTGAGGCAGCAGAAAAAAAATATCTTCGGATTATCAGCTTTCAGATATTGCCTGAACACATCATCGGTGATGTGGAGCTCCATCAGGAAAATCCACATCTCAGCTAGAAAATGTGGTATTTCATCAAAATCACTGTATTCTACATGTGTCATTCAAAAGTTCTCCAAAACTAAACAACTTACTGTAAACTGATTCTGTAAAAATAAAAAAAATAAAAAAATAAATCCTCCTCAGCACAACTTATTAAAATAAATGCAGCATGACTAAAGAACCAGTGAACAGAGGAGCAAGTTGTTGAAGGTACATTCAGCATGGTGGAACATCTTTCTACAGCTGATGGTGGAACATCTTTCTACAGCTGATGGTGGAACATCTTTCTACAGCTGATGGTAGAACATCTTTCTACATCTGATGGTGGAACATCTTTCTACTGCTGATGGTGGAACATCTTTCTACAGCTGATGGTGGAACATCTTTCTACAGCTGATGAGCAGAGCAGAGAGGAAAAGTCTGGAGAGGTTGGAAACATGGAGATAGATAAATATCTATAGTATGTGGAGCCTCCATTTGTTTCCAGTGTTGGCAACATCTTTAGACACTTGGAAAAATGTTGGACATGTTGACTCCAAGACTTTCACATTTTTGTTAAACAAATAATCTTTTTTTTCTGATTTCTTTCATTATAACTGTGTCATACTGCTAAGAGGACGTTTCTGGGCTCCTTCTCCTTCTAGCCATGGTTGTGCTGTTTGCAAGACTTTTTACTGCAGTGAAAAATGAACCCACGGTGAGCAATGAGACGGGTTCAGAGGGTTAACATGTTCATATCAGTACCACCACGTTCAGGCTGAATTCAGCATCAGACGCTGCATCCCGTCTGTGTGTGACGGGAGGCGAACGTTAAAGCTGAGGAAAAGTAAATGGAGTCTGGTTCTGACCGGGCCAGGGGGAGATGGTGGCTTTGCTGATGACGTCGGCGGCTCTGGACTTGCAGTAGTCGGACTCGAGCAGCGTGTTGAAGAGCGTGGACTTGCCGGCGTTGGCACAGCCCACCAGGTACACGTCACCTTTGTACCTCCAGGACCGCTGCAGGCTGGAGATCAGGCCCTCCACACCGTACCCGGTCTTAGCGCTGATCAGGTGCACATCAGTCACCTGAGTGCCGAAGCCGGCGTCCTGGCAGTACTGCGACAGCTGCCGCTTGATGCGCTGCAGGTAGTTGGGCGCATCTGAGGGCAGCAGGTCGACCTTGTTGCCGAGGACAACGATGTGTTTATTGCCCCCCACCAGCTCAGACAGGCCGGGGATGATAGAGTCAGGTAGGTCCAGCAGGTCGACCACAAGCAGCACCAGCGCCTTGTGGGGCCGGACCTGCCGCACGACGTCTTTGTACTGCTCTCTGGACAGCTGCAGGTTCAGCGCCTGGTGGTGATGAGTCAGCAGGTGGCAGCGCTGGCAGGTGGCTTCACCCAAACGCTGCTCCTGCTGCAGCACCTTGAACTTCTCACTGGGCAGGTATCCGGGGACGTTGGTGGCAGTGCAGTGTAGCACGGCGCCGCAGCCCGAGCAGCAGGTGTCGCTGACTGGCTCGTCTACGTCAGGGGTCCCAAAGATTTTGTGCCCGCCTTTCCCCCCTGCATCCTTCTTCTTCTTCTTCTTCTTCTTTGTGGCTGTGACGCTGTTGTCCAGCGGGAAGTCCACATCCTCGAATTGGATGAGGGAGTCCAGCTCTGCCTCCTGCTGGGCCCCGCCCCTTAACACCTGCAGCTGATGCTCCAGAGATCGCAGCTGCTTCTGATGGGACAAGTGGGCAGCAGAACCAGGAGATCCAGCAGCAGAACCAGGAGAACCAGCAGCAGAACCAGGAGAACCAGCAGCAGTAGAGGCAGTGCTGAGTTGACGGAGGAGGTGTCTCTCCTCCAGAGGGGAGTTGTCCTCTGGATCTGGACCAGGACAGAAGAAGAGAAGAAGAGACGTTCACCACAGAGCCTCACCTGCACATCACCTGTACGGCTGTCTCACACGAGCACGATGGAGTTAAAGGGAAACTTAAGGGAAATGTCACAGATTTATCAGCTCTCTGTTGCATATAGACCACATGAGAGCAGGTCCACATCCAAACTTTTATACTGTATATCATCCCACCCTTTGTTCCCCCTTTTTGTAAAACAGAAAAAAGGTTTAACAAATCAGGGACAGTTTTAAAGACTCCCGTCTCTGTAGGACAACGTAGTTCAGATTTGACCAGTATATACGGGGCTTTACAAATTTATTAGACCAACTGCCCCAAAAACAAGCAAACAAATATTTTTAAGCTTTCAGAAACTAGCTTAAAACTAAAAAAGTTATTTATCTGGCAAATAACAAACAACTAAATAGTCCTTTTTCACACATAATAACCAAAAAATGTCATATTTTGGACGGCCTCCTTTGACCTTGATCGCAGTTTGCATTGTTTTTATGTGCTTCTCGACAGTCTCTCTTTTGTTTTTGGGTTCCAGATAGTTTCTTGCTGTTCCCACAGATTTGCTTTAGATTAAAGTTTTGTGCGATCAATCTTTGAATGTACTCCATCCAGTGGTGTGCCGTCAGGGCCAGCAAGGCCTTCTCTGCTGGCCTCAACTCGATTAGAATCACTGACTTAAGCTGTAATATTTTCCCATTAAGCTTTTAGCCTTTAACACCTTTTTATACCCAAATCTGAGCCGGCTCACTGAGCTTCTCTGAGAAGTCAGAACTGAATCAAGCAAAACATTCAACCACTAAAATTATTTTTTCTGTTCAGGAATCCAAGTAAATAACGATAATTTGACATCTCAATCAAGAAACAATAATGTGCTTTACTGTTTTTTCTAAAGCTGTGAACAATAATGATTTTATTTTAGTATTAAAATATTTTGATGAAAGAGCTTCTACATACTGGTGTTTTTACATTTGTTAAGCTCTGTACGGGAACAAAAATCCGATTTGCATTAAACAACAACACTATAAATCTTTGATAAACATGAAGGTGTGTTTAATGAACACCTGGAATGTCTGACAGGTTTTACATCATTTAAGTTTGGAGAAAGGTGAAGTTTCCCTCAACTACTCTCACCTGTAAAGTCCAGGAAGACGAACTGCTCCTGCAGGTTCGGGTCCACTATGCAGCTATGGACTCTTCCCCGGGTCTCACTGCGACCCTCCGCCGCCTCGGTTCCCCTCTGAGCGGCGGAACTCCCGCTGCTCCACACCTGGGGGCGGACACACACTTGGCGGCGGACACACATCTGACGGCGGACACACACCTGGCGGCGGACACACACTTGGAGCACCTTCAGCATGGTGAGGCCACACGCGCACTCTGACAAACGACCTCACGATACCGCCGCAGCGCCACTTCCTCGATGTGACGTAGAGCGTCATGGCGTCACAGCTGCCTGTGGCTGGAGAGCGCGAGGACAGGAGGTCTCACTCTGAGGCACAAGTCAGGAACCGAAACACGAAGTTTCAACAAAAACAACAGTTAGAATTGTTATGAGTATTATTGTTGTTATCATTATGATTAGTATGAATCACAGTAAACATAATAATAATCATCATCATCATCATGAAATGAAATGAAAGAATGAAAAATACTTTATTCATCCCAGAAGGGAAATTCAATTATATATATTATAATCATAATAATCATAATAATGATGATGATAATAATAATAATTCCATCCATCCATTTTCTATACACCGCTTAATCCTCATTAGGGTCGCGGGGGGGCTGGAGCCTATCCCAGCCGACTTAGGGCGAAGGCAGGGGACACCCTGGACAGGTAACCAGTCTATCACAGGGCTACACTTAGAGACAGACAACCAAGCACACTCACATTCACACCTACGGACAATTTACAATCGCCAATTAACCTCAACATGTTTTTGGACCTTGTGGGAGGAAGCCGGAGAACATGGAAACTCCATGCAGAAAGATTCCGGTCCCCACCGGGACGCGAACCGGCAACCTTCTTGCTGCGAGGCAACAGTGCTACCAACTGCGCCACCTTGCAGCCCAATAATAATAATAATATGCGACAGCTCAGTGTCTTTTTTGTGTGAGACTCTGGAGTTGATTCCTTCATGAGCGGAGTGAGACCTCGTGTCTACTGAGGATCTGTGCTTCCTCTTTCTCTTCTGCTGTTCGAGTCTTTCCGTCACTTTACTGTCAACATGTTGAAGCTCAGACCTGCTGCTCTGCTGCTCAGACCTGCTGCTGCTGCTGCTGCTGCTGCTGCTCAGGTGAGTTCACCTACAACAAACACACAGAACCAGATCAGAATAAGACCAGACCAGAAAGTAACCAGAAACAGACATGAAATACTTCAGAAACAAACCAGAAAGGGACCAGAAACTCTCGGAACCAGACTGTTTTGCAGTAAGTGTGCTGCAGTCTGGACTCCTGAACCTCCGGAATGAAGATGCTCTTCTGCTGTTTCTCAGTCTCAGTTTCCCTGCAGACTCTCAGAAACAGATCTGCAGTTTCTGCTGTGTGGAGTTCATCCCAGATGTTTGTCGGTTGCGGGCCGCTGATCTTTGGACTGATCTGAGCTCCAAGTCAGAACCAGCAGTTTAAAATTAACCAGCAGCTGAGGGGCCCCGTAGAGAAAACAGCTCACAGAGCAGCACAGTGACAGGTTGCACAGGGTCCGAGTGGAGTGTTTGATTTGTGCACCAGCAGGTTTCATATCAAACCATCTCAAACACACACACACACACACACACACACACACACACACACACACACACACACACACACACACACACAGGTACACTCTAACACTGGTTTATGGTTCACAGTCACGTAGCTCGGAGCTGCAGTATCTCATGGAGTCCAGCAGGTGGCAGCAGGAACCTGAGTCCACTTCAAATTGAAACGTTCCAGCATCAGCTGCTGTTCAGGACTGAAACTAACCATTTCCACTGTGCATTAATATGTGGACTCTTTTCTGGACAAATCGTTCAGCTGTTTGGTCTCTAATATGTCAGACAATTGCACAATGTGGATCAATGATTCCTTAAATGTCTTGTTTTGTCCAGAGACCATAGGAGCTTCAGTAGGAATCAACTGGACTTCTTTTGTAGGTTCTGGAGTTCAGTTCTCCAGTTCAGAACTGAAGGAGCCTCTTGGATGAGAGGTGAAACGTCTTCAAGAACCTACAAGAGAGTTGATTTCTACTGAAGCTCCTGTGATTACCATGATCTGGATGACTGAGAATCTACAGTCACTATTTCCAAAGATCTTCAGTTTACTGTCACAGAGGAGGAAAGAAACCAGAAACTATTCACATTTAAGAAGCTGACATCACTGAATTTAAACAGCTGTTGTTAAGAAGTCACTTAGACTGACTGATTAATTGATTATCAGAACGCTTGATGGTTAATTCAATAGTTGACAGTTCATTGATTAATCTTTGCAGCCTAACAGCAGTTCATCAACTCCCACAGCTGATCACATCAACACAGCAATTCAATTCAATTCAATTTTATTTTATTTATATAGCGCAGTTCACAACATATGTCGTCTCACAGTGTTTAACATAGCAAGGTGAAGACTTTAGGAATTTTAAACAGAGAACCCAACAATCCAAAGTTACCTTTAAGCAAGCGGTCGGCAACAGAGACTTTAAAGGAGGCTGATGAGAGTATCTGGACACAGACTGTTAAAAGCTCCAGCAGAAACAAAACACTCAAAGGATGTGGACAACATGTTGTCAAGTCAGTTATTGATAGAGGAACATTTAAAGCTGCAGCCAAAGGGTAGAGACAGAAGATTAATGCTACAAACTGACATGTCACATCTAAAGATGAACGTTCAGATCATACAGTTTTATTAATTATACAAGTGTCCAGCACCTGGTTCTGTTCTCCTGTCAGAGTGAGACCTCTGCTGTGTTTTGTCCTCTCTGCAGCCTCGTGCGCGCCTCTCTACCGGCCCCCAGCAGGAACACTCTACCTTCTATGAGTTCCGCACCTACTGCATCCGACCGGACCAGAACGCCGCCTTCCTCAAGCTGACCAATGAGAAGATCCACCTGCGCACCGCACACTCCGAGCTGATTGGCTACTGGAGCGTTGAGTATGGCGGCCTGAACAAGGTGTTCCATATATGGAAGTATGGTGAGAACCCTCCTCTTCTTCTGGGGCTGAATCATACGGTTCTTCTCTTCCTTGGTCTTTAAAGTGTAACTCTCCCCTTTAGACAGCTTCTCTCAGCGGGCAGGTGTTCGGGCGGCTCTGGCTCAGGACCCCTCCTGGATCTCCGAGTACATCTCCAAAGCCATACCGATGCTGACGTCTCAGGACAACGAGGTCACCTACCTGGTTCCTTGGAGCCGCCTGCAGAAGCCACCGCGTGATGGTGGTAAGCCCCGCCCTCTGCTGTGACACGTTTCAGTGACATCACCTGGCTGTAGCAGCAGGTGTTTGTGTTTCAGGTGTGTACGAGCTGGCGTCCTTCCAGATGCGTCCTGGTGGTCCAGCGGTTTGGGGCAACGCCTTCCAGGCCGCCATCACCGCCCATGATGCACCGGGGTACGGCAAGTTGATGGGAGCTTTCCACAGCGAGTTTGGACCGCTAAACAGAGGTAGGAAAGAACCAGCCCACTGTGTTGGGGTTAATGACATCACTGCACAGTTAATGATGTCACTGTGTTTGTCCCGGGCAGTTCACGCCCTCTGGTGGTTCGAGAGCGCTGACCAGCGGGCTGAAGTTCGACACAAAGCTCACACTGACGCCAGAGTGGTCGCTGCAGGTGAGACTTTGCCCCCACAAAGCTGCACATGGTGAAACTCTCTACAAACAGTTTCTGCTGGAACATGATTCTGTTCAGGGTGAAACGACAAGCATCTTTTACTGACAGAAACATGAATTCCTACAGTGTACAGCCGCAGGGAGTGCAGGCCTTATAGTCAAAACTAAACAAAAGTGCTCCAGCTGTGATCCCCAACTGGAAAACCTTTGATCACTGAAACTAAACCGAGTCCACCAGTGATTTCAAGTCAGCCTAACTGCATGAACATGGTTCTAAAACGAGCTGTGCAGGACACGTCAGAACATCAAGCACTATGGATGGAGGACAAGAAAAAGAAGTTCTCTTCAGAACAAAACTTCTAGATTAAAGTTGCTGAAGAACATGAACAGAAGCTTGATGAATGTTGGAGAACATTCTCTGGTCAGATGAAGATAAATGTGTTGGGCTCAGATGGAGTCCAGCATGTTTGGTGTGAACCTGACCAGGACGACCACAGTGGATGCATCGTCCTGACAGTGAAGCCTGGAGGTGGAAGTGTGATGATGTGAGGCTGCATGAGAGCAGAACGTGTTGAGGAAACAATATCTATAGATGCACCATGAATGTCTGTAGATAAACTAAAGTACTGGCTGACAGCATGACTCTTAGTCTGCAGAAGTTTGGTAGAAGAGGAATTATCCAGCATGAGAACCATCCAAAGAACCAAATCACATGAGCGCTTCTACACAAGAACAAAGTTAAAACTACGACCTGGACAGTGTGGGTCCTGACATGAATCCAACACAACACCTTTTGGATATTTTAAAGAGAAGCAAAGAGCAGCTGAAAGAATGACATCTGTTGAGAAGTTTGAGGACTCTGGTATCCTCCAAGCTGAGGAGGATTGGATCTGTCAGCAGAAATAAAGGTGGACATACGAATTATTGAAAAAAACAAAAGTTAAATGGAATTTTGTTGCACTGAGTTCCTACTGTGGGGTCTGAATGTTTAACAAAGTAAATCTAAACTGGCGGTTTTTAATTTGACATTGGTGCAAATGCTCTATTGTTTGAGTTAGAATTAATCTGATTACTGTGATGTGATGCAGATTAGAGTCATATGATATTTCAGTGTCTGATACTGTAGAACCACTGAATGTAACAGGACAAACATTATTCTAGAAATAACGTCATGCACGGAGACCTGCATGAACTCAAACTCTAACAGATGTGTGTTTGTGTCTCTCAGTCAGAAACAGTGTCGTCCATCTCGACTCTCAGAGGAATCAGCTCATGTTTCCGTGTCCTTTCTCGCCCATGAAGTAACCTCCGGTCCTGTGTTTCCATGGCAGCAACGGAAGGTTCAGCTGATGTTAAACTTGACCCTTGTGAGCTTCTGCAGTTCTGTATTTACAGTCACATGACATTCTGTGAGGATGCTGAGGAGCCATTGCTAACTGAAGTCAACTCTTAACACCGTAAAGTGTTTAAGTGACAGTGGCGGCATCCAATCCTGAGGTGTGCATGCTGGGTTGAGCGGGGCATAAAGTCGAGCTCTGCTGATAGAAAACTGATTTGTTCCTTCTGCTAAAACTGTCTAAATAATAAACTGAGACGGTGCACTCATGTTTGGGAGGAAATATTCCTTCTCTGTTTCTCTTCTGTTTTAATTTCAGTGTTTAGATCTCAACTTTATTAACTAGGAAACGCCATGAAATGACTTGAAAATGTAATTTTATATCATGATTTGGGTCTGTGGGTTGGTGTATTTCTATTGGCTCTGTAGGTGCCTCCTTAGGGTGACCAGGAACACCTGGTTTAAGAAATAAAACATTTCCTAGCTGACAACTCTTGGTTTTACCAGAGCCATGTCATAAATTCAATTCAATTTTATTTGTAAAGCACAGTTTACAACATATGTCATCTCACAGTGCTTAACATAGTAATGTGAAGACCTTGGGGGTGGGGTAGGGGACAGCAGATGGAGAGCAGCTATAGGCCAGCAATAGAGGCAGCTGGCTGCATGTTTTTGGACTGTGGGAGGAACCTGGAGAGAACCCACGCTGCACTGGGAGAACATGGAGACTCCACGCAGAAAGATCCCGGGTGTCCTCACTGGGGATCTTCTGGCTGCGAGGCGACAATGCTAACCAATTGCGAGTATTTACTTAGATTTTTCCTATTTTATCTGGTGCGTCTCCCTTTTGTTGTGGCCACCTGAGCCATGTCATAACCAATGGGGGCCTGTCCGGGATGGTCACATGCATTTCAATCCTGTTGGTGGGTTTTTGTTTCAAAGCATTAAATTCAGTTCTGAAACTGTAGTGACAATAATCCTAAATCAATAAAAACAATCTATTTCATATTTAATGCTTCCTTGCAGTTACTGAGAGTGAATTGATGTTTGACAATTTTATGAAATGAAAAGTTAATTCTCAAGCAACTGTATGTAAAGACAGATTTAATCAGCAACCTGCAGACTGAATGTTTAATTAAAGAACCAACAGAAGCAGGTTTCTGTTGGACAACAGACGATCCGACTTACTGAAGAAACTGACGGAGAACATTTAGAGCTTGAGATTCCTACAACTGCACTTTTTTCTCCACCAAACATTGATGAAGGAGGCCCAGGCCGACCGACAGTTTGAATGAAAGAGGCGGGAGAAGCTGGAGATTTGTTTCATTTTAATTCTGGTAGTTCGGGGTCGTAACAGTTCGTCTTCCATCAGCTGCACAATCAATGAACATGATCAGAAGAAGGCAGGTTTGATTTCAGTGCAAAGACAAACGGATGTTTTGAACACTTAAAGTGCTGCAGTCTGATCAGCTGCTGTCACACAAGGGCGATCACCGATCAATCCCTGATCAATCAATACTGTAGTGTGCTTTCAGGAGCTGATGAGGTATTTCACTGTTTCACACCCAAACTAACAAATCTGCTCTTTCATCATCTTTTCTTAAAAAACTAGAAAATCAATCAACTCTTCCTGTGTCAAACGCTCTGATTGGCTGTTAAAACAACAAATTTCTGTTTCAACTACACATATAAATAAAAGTCTGACAATAAAAATGGAATCAAATGTTTTTAAAAGTGTGATTTTGCAGTCGAGCCCTTGGCCGTTTGAAATGATTCAGATTCTTCATCGTAGCTTCAGCAGATGCTCAAGTCCTTCAGCTTCAATCAGGAAGTGAAGGAAGGCGTCGCAGCTGCAGGAGGTCTGAAGGCACTCATTCAAGTTTTTACTTAGTGTGGTCAGCGAGCCACTCGCCGACACACAAAATCATTTGCATTGACTGGCATAAGGCAGCAGGTGACTCCGCCCACCGCCGTGTTCAGATCGGTATGGCATTACAACAGGTGAGGAGGACCATCCTGCCCCGGGTGAGTCCAGGCCGAAGCTGCAGCCTCCAAATGTTGCAAGACATCATGTGCGTGGTCACATGACACTCTCCCTCAACCCACCTCCCGCTGTGGCGGCTCCGCAGGTGGAGCTCAGTGACGGAACCTCGATGGCGACGTCTTTCCGCCTCACAGAGTTGTCTTTGGAGTGATAGTCGTCACTCTGGTCCTTCGCAAAGTTCACAAACACCTGAAACCACAAGCAGCCTCAGTCATCTGTGGACCACATTTCCAATCAGCCCTGTCAGGTGTAGCAGCTTATTTATGTCCCTTAAATGATTTATTAGTTGATCCAACTGCTCTATGTGGTTTAAATTGCCCCCAGGGGACAAATAAAGTTTTCTAAATTTAATTGAATTGAACTTGTGTGTTCAGAGTGTGTGTATCAGGTGTGTGTTTACCTGGTCCAGTGTGGTCTGGGTGACGGAGTAGTCCTCGATGTGGAGCGTGTCTTTGTTCTGGGCGAGGATGGAGAAGATGTGAGCGAGGGAGGTGAGCGATGAGGGCAGCTGGTACTGCAGCATGTTGCGGTGCTTCTCCTTTAGCGTGCTGCCGCTCAGCTCACTCTCGATGAACTTCATGACGGGCAGCAGGTCGGGGTCGAGCCCTGCCACCCGCAGAATGATGGTGTAACCGTCGCCAAACCTGACGCACAAAACCAGCATGTTATCTCAAAAAAAATTTAAACAGGAAGATCACGACATTTTTATCTTTCCAACAATCCTTAAACTAATCATGTGTGTAGTTCAGTCAGAAACCGTAACTAAATCCACATTTCTTTGAAATCTCTCTATTCTTCATGTCTCGTTAAAAATATCCTCCAGAAATAAATCGTTTGCGAAAACCAGATTCTGTAAAAGCCACAAACATCTTCAACTCTCAGCACAACTGAATCTCTACGACTGACTCAGATGAACTGCAGGCAGTGTTTCCACAGAGCAGAGAGGTGCAGGACTTTACACTGCAGTGAGAATGAGCCCACAGTGAGGGAAAATAAGACAGGAGTCTTAAAGATGGTCCCGCTGTCCGAGCAGTCGAATCACAACATTGGTACTGTGTGGAAAAGGTCTTCAATGAGCAGCTGATTCATTTAAACACAACTAATTAAACAAATCCATCTGTTTGTGCTGCATATTTTTGTGTTGAAGTCAAAAACAAAGAACAGTTTGAATATTTCTCTGGTTCATCACAGACTGGATATAAAGGCGGACACAGCTGACGTGACATCATTCGTTGGTTTTCGTACAGCTGGTCTGAAACCTCGAGTTTGGAATTCTGTTGCCTTCTCCGACAACTGCCCTAAAGCGTCCTCTGCTTTATGGTCTGTTATCCTCTAAACAGCACCATCATTTACTCAGGGAACAACATGCTGTGTTGGAGGAGACTTGAAACCAGCAACGGAGACCATAAACTCAGACAGAACGCAGCTTTAACGCATCACTTTCAGAAGTATGTCTTCTATAATTCGTCTGTGTCACAGAGACACTGCATTACCTGTTCTTCAGATGTTGGACGCTGCCGAGACATCTGAACCTGCCGTTCACCATGATGGCCATTCTGGTGCACAGAGCCTCACACTCCTCCATACTGCAACACACAAACGCAGACGGTCAGACACACAGCAGGAGACACAAGTGCTGTCAGGAAGAACAACGGATTAATGAGAAAACAAAGTGAAAGACACAAACCAATGCAAAAAACTTAGTTTGACACAATGTGAGGAGACAAACTAAGGACAAGACAGACTGAGGACATTTAAAGCACACTCGGTTAGGACATCAAATCTTGGCTTTGTTCGCTGCCATGAACAGAAGACAAACTTACAGAAGGATGGGAATTAGGGACACAACACTGAGGACAATCACACTGAAGAAGGACATTCAGTGAAGAGACAAACAAAGGAGACAAATAAAGACATTTACTGAGCACATGGGTTTTAAAACAGGATCCCTGAGGACAGACGTCAACCTCAAAGTCCATCGTCCTGTCTTCAGGTGCGTCACTGGCTCCCTCAGTAGACATGTCCGTCCTACCTGAGGGGAGGAGGCCGCCGGTCTTACCTGTGCGAGGTGAGGACGACGGAGCGTCCCTCCTTGATGACGCTGTGGATGCAGTTCCAGAGGGCTCGGCGGGCCTTGGGGTCCATGCCCGTCGTGGGCTCGTCCTGTAACGAGGAGGACAGCCAGGTTGAGGTTGGCCCACAGGTTTAGCAGGAAGCACAGGGTGAAGGTGAGGAGGAGGGGGAGGAGCGGCATCCTACCGATGCCTCATCCACCTGTGAACCACCTGCTCTTCTTCTGCTGTTCAAACCTGCACGTCTCTCTTCTTCTGCCCTCAGTAACACAGCTCCTTTTAATCCTCACCGTTACACAACAACCCCCCTCCCTCCAAATCCTGCTGTTAAACTGCTCAGCTGCTCTCTGATTGGTTGTCAGCTCTGCTCTCTGATTGGCTGTCAGTGGTCTGGTGCTGTTCTGTAACAAACGGCTTCACTGTCAAAAACTTTTGCACAAAATTCAACGTGCTGTTTCCAGAGCGTTTAGGTCACAGCTTTGTGACGGAGCTGTGACTGTGAACTTGTAGTCGATGGCAGCAGTGAGTGCAGCCCGGAGTAATATCAGTTAAAATACCAAGTGATTATAAACTGTGTTAGCTCTTAAACAACGGCATAATATCCACAGTATTTCCTCTGATGAATCATCAGAAACAAATCCTTATCAATGAAAACCAGAGTTAGTGTGAAGCTCAGACAGTGTGAAGGACACTTCAGAACATCAACCTCTAAAGATGGAGGACAAGAAAAATCCCTTGTTGTTGTTTAGAACTACAAGATGAAAGTTTGCTAAAGAACATGAACAGAAGCCTGATGAATGTTGGAGAACATTCTCTGGTCAGATGAAGATCAATGTGTTGGGCTCAGACGGAGTCCAGCATGTTTGGTGTGAACCTGACCAGGACCACCACAGTGGATGCATGGTCCTGACAGTGAAGCCTGGAGGTGGAAGTGTGATGATATGAGGCTGCATGAGAGCAGAAGGTGTTGAGGACCTGATATTTATAGATGCACCATGAATGTCTGTAGATAAACCAGAAATACTGGCTGACAAGATGACTCCCATTATCCAGCATGAGAACCCTCCAAGGAACCAAATCACTGTGAAAACTACAACCTGGACAAATATGTGTCCTGACATGAATCTAATAGAACACCTTTGGGGTATTTTAAAGAGAAAGGAAGCGCAACACAACCCCTCCAGCAAACAACAGCTGAAAACAATAATCTGTGAAGAATATAAAAGCATCAGTGCAGAAATATGTGGACTTCATGCTTCATACTGAGGACTGAGTCTGTCATTAAATTGAAGGTGGACGTACAAAATACAGACAAAATCAAAGATTAGAATCGTAGTAATGAAAGGTGGACTGACTTTTGCTGCATTGAGTTCCTACTGAATCTGAATCTTTAATAAAGTAAATCTAAACTGGTAGCTTTTAATGTGACATTGAGGCAAATATTCTACAGTTCAGCATCCACATCGCAGCCCAGGAAGACCACCAGAAGTGGCTGAAAGCTGCTCTACACAGTAACCAGGTGAAGAAGAGTGATTAGTTACCAGAAACACCACAGGGGGCGCTCCGATCAGAGCCATGGCCGTGGACAGCTTCCTCATGTTGCCGCCGCTGTAGCTTCCCGCTGCTTTATCTGCGTACTTCAGCAGACTCAGTTTCCTGATGCCCCACTCCGCCACCTGTCAATCAAACACCACCAACATCATCAGCGTCACCATGGCGACCACCACCACCACCATGCAGCGTACAGTGTGGGTGCGTTTCCTCACGTCGCAGACTTCTTTCTCGGGGACGCCTCTGAGGACAGCGTACAGCTCCAGGTGTTCTCTGCCGGTCAGCAGCTCGTTGATGGCGTCAAACTGAGGACAGTAACCCATTTTCTGATGGACCTCATCGATCTCCCTCAGGATGCTGCAGACACACGCATACACGTCTCAACAGGTGCCACAAAACCACTTTAACTGAGCTTCATCAGCTTGACGCCACACCACATCCCAGCCACAGCAACATGAAGCCAAAGGGCCAGCAGATGAATGGGAGGACTCTGTTCTACGTGTCTGATCAGTGTCACTCATTTGGAGTTTGAAGCCATCTCTAAACAGAGACGGGGGTCTCCGTCATCACTTACCAGGTACTTATAACGCAGTCCTGACATCTCTGCTCAAAAAGTTTTAAAAAAACAAACAACCAAAGTCACTCCTCATTAAACAGTTCAACCACCATCCACACCTGTTAACGCCTTGAGGTGTGAACGGTTGTGAAACTGCCTGGTGAGGAATGACTCAAGGTCTTAATGGAAGTGAAGCATCTCAAGGATCAGGGACACTTCTATGAGGACAGTAATGTCTACATTCTGGACAGAGAAGACAGATGGTTCAAGAGAGTGAAGGAGGACATGTGTGTGAAGGATGGGAGCTACAACCCACTAATCAGACGCAAAAGACATAAACAGATGGATGTCTGGATCGTCTGAGTGTGTGAAGGCCCTGCAGGGTCCACTGACCGTAGGTTAAGAACTTCTGCAGCTCTGAACTTTAATTCCTGAAGATTAAGAGATGGAGCAACACCCTCATGTGTTTTTACTGTGTTCAGCTGCTAAATGAAGATCTCAGCAACAAGTAAGAAGCTTAATGAGGAACAAGTGAACTTATGGACCTGAGTGTGTGTGTGTGTGTGTGTGTGTGTGTGTGTGTGCGCAGAGTTTCAGGCATTTACATCTTGAGCTGTGAATTGTAGTATAACTGTCAGTGGAGGGATTTCAGGACTGCATTGTAAGTACCTGATAAGTGGTGTTGTAGACTCCTCCTCTGTTCAGTGATGGGTGTTCAATGCTAAACTGCGTGCTCAGTGCTTTGTGTGACATGAAAACCATCTTCCCTAAGTCACTTCACACAACTCAAAGTACAGCTGCTTGTTGATCCGTTAATGTGACGGTGCTGTTGTTGAACGTGATGGAGAAATCTTGCTCAAACCAAGGTCAGCATTCAAACATGAAGCCGGCATGTTGAGTTAGACATGGTGCATGTCTAAAAGCTCAAGTTAAACTGGAACAGCCGTCTCTAGACAGCGGAGGAGTTTGCGATATCACTTATCAGGTACTTATAATGCAGTCTTGAGATTTTTCCCCAGAAAGTTTCAAACCGTCTTGAGTCAGCCCTCATCAGGCTTCACAGCCATTTACACTTTGAGAAATGTGCGTCTTGATTTGTTAATGGACCACAACTGATGTGATTTGGGGGTGAGAGTAGATTCCTAAAACTCCAAACCATTCCGTTTGAACCGAAGAAACCTCTTGGATGAAGGTAAAACTTCTTTAGGCAGCAGAAAGAGAAGCACAGGTGCTTCTACTGAGGTTCTGAGGAGTGACATGACCTGACGACAGGGTCATGTGACATTCAGAGTCAGAGGACATAAAATGGTTCCAAATTAAAAGACAGCAGAGCTGCAGAGTCTCAGTAACACTGAACGAAATGTTTTCAGAGGTTTTCACTTCTAAACTTGGCATTAATCCTCAGAATAAATCTGCAGGATCCAGGTCAATCCCCGAGTCCACCACAACAATAGCTCTTGGACTCAGCAGCTCTGGGTAGCCTGAACCTGATCTCAGGTCAGGAGCTTTGACCTCACCTCTTCCCGGCCAGGAAGGCCTCTCCACTGGTCACCAACGTGTCCCCCGTCAGCATCTTAAAGGTCGTCGTCTTACCGGCTCCGTTCACACCGAGGAGGCCGAAACACTGGTGACACACGAGGCAGATTCAGAGGTTTATTTTCTCCACAGTGAGCTTGTTTCACAGAAATACCTTCAGTACATCAGCGGATCAGCCTCACCTCTCCGGGAGGAATGCCGACACACAGTCGATCCACCGCCGGCTTCTGCTTCCTCTTAAACACCTGCAGGACACAGTTCACTGAGTCACATTCTGAAACTATGCTTCACATGCTGCTGCTCCACCTGCTGCACCGACAGATGCTCTTATGTTCGGTCACCTTGGTGAGCTGCCGGAGCTCCAGGATGTCTCCGTGTCCGAGGCCGTGGACGATCCGCTGCCTTTCTCTGGCCACGTCCTCGTCCTCTTCCCCCAGAGGTCCCAGTTTGGTGAGTTTGCTGACAGACCTGCAGACACACAGAGCATGACCTCACAGTGTCTTCAAACAGCTTCATCTACAGCCGTATAAAAAATAGTCGAGGCTGTAAGAATAGAAATAGTTAAATATCGACAGTATGTGGATTTTCCAGTGCTGAGAAAACCTCTGGACACTTGAAACATGTAAACCATGTTGATTCCAGCTTAGATTTCTATAAAATAAATAATCAAAGCTATATTTATTTTTCTCATTTCTGACATTCTGTGAGGTGCAGAACTTTATTTTGTAGGGAAAAATGAGAAAGAAACTGCTTAATATGCTGTCCAGGTTCTGCGCTGCTTAAGTCGGGACTCACCTGGGTTTGATGCAGAACCGGTACTGGATGAGGACGGTGATGAGGAAGAAGACCACTCCCTCCACAGCCATGGCGAACAGGTTCTTTCCCACCATGTCCCACTCCAGAGGAGAGCGGAACCTGTTCTCACCTGCAACACAGCATTCAGACGCTGTTAACCTACGTGTCCTACATCCTGCTAGACTTCATGATCAGCAGTGCTGTGGCTCAGATGAACCAGTCACGCTGCAGCCATAAACAGTCGCTCCATGCGTCGGTTTGTTACCGAATCTCTCGAGGGCGTCGGCCATCGCCTGGTTCTTCACCATGTCGATGAGTCCCCGACCGAGACAGAAGTGAGGGAAGATGAGGAGGACGTTCTTCAGGATGTCGTTTATTCCTCCGATTTCCTGAGGAGAGAAACAAGTTAAACCACCAATAACGGCTGTATTTACTTCTGCAATTTCGTTTATCCTGAATTATTTTAAGCTTCAGGGTCATTCCATATAAAATCAATCAATTTCTGAGGATTTTCCCAGGTCACCCTCTCAGATTCCTCTATAAAAAAAAAAAAAAAAAAAAAGTACAAGTGCTCCGATACCAAACTTATAAAGAAATCCCAAATATTAGGTCAGCATCTGTAATAGTGTTGAAATTACAGCCCTTTGAAATTGTTAATTAATCTTGTGCGTTTTGTCAAACCAGTCTTTCAGACGATCTTCCGAATAACTCATACAGTATGGCACACGGAGCTTTAAAGCTGTTTATTTTGGGCCAAAAGTGTAATCAGATCTGGTGTATTGTCTTCATTTTGCACTTGGAATCGTTTCCCAATCATTTATGAGGCAATAGACCATGTCTATGCAGTAACCATGAGTAACCACGATTCCTGATTTGACCATGTTCACCATCATTTCCCTATTTTTTACCACATGTTCTTAAAGATCTGAAGATGAGCTGATCTAAATATGGTTTTGCTGCTGAGCCTATTGTATGATACACAGTTCCAAACAACAAATTCTTCATGTTTAAGTCAGGATTATTTTAAAACTGTAATTTAAATCAGGATTATTTCAAAGCTGCAGTTTGGTTTAGTCTGTGGATTCCTTCCTGGTGTTGACTCACGTTGTTTCCAAAGAGCTCCATGACGAAGGTGGAGATGCTGCCGTTAATGCCGATGAGGATGTTGACACTGGTGAGGACGACGTACGCTGTGCTGGGGATCTTAAAGAAGAAGGAAGCCGGATACATGAGGGGAGTGATGGACCAGCTGGGAACGAAACGGAACAACGGAATCTGTCAGAACGCAGGTAGTACACTGCAGTATACTGCAGTACAGTGTAGTAGATTACAGTATACAGCAGTACAGTGTAACACACTATAGTCCAGTGCAAAATACTGTAGTAAAGTGCAATATATCATAGTACAGTGCAGTACCATGCAATATACTGTAGTACAGTGTAGTAGATTACGGTATACTGTAGTGCACTGCAGTGTAGCAGTAGTAATAGTAGTTGTATCTGATCCATAGAGAAGCAACAGTAAGACAGTGTATTATTGTTATTATTATTATTATTATAGTAGTAGTAGTAGTAACAGCAGTATCCGTCCCATAGAGCAGCAGCAGTAGTAGTAGTAGTAGTAGTAGTAGTAGTAGTAGTAGTAGTATTAGTAGTATCTGATCCATAGAGTAGTATCAGTAACATAGTGTAATATTACGATTATTAGTAGTAGCAGTACAAGTAGTACTAGCAGCAGTAGTAGCAGTACTAGTACTAGTAGTAGTATTAGTAGTATCTGATCCATAGAGTAGTATCAGTAACATAGTGTAATATTACTATGATTAGTAGTAGCAGTACGAGTAGTACTAGCAGCAGTACTAGTACTAGTAGTACTATTAGTAGTATCTGACCCGTAGAGCAGCAGCAGCAGGGCGAGCACCGGCAGGTTGGTCGATGACACGTAGGCTTTTTGTTGGAAACAGACGAAGATGAGGATAACCAGCGTTGCCGGGACGATGTAGTTGCACTGTGGAGACACACAAACATCAGTGACAATCGCACAATCTGACACACACTCAGCACACTCCGTGTGAAGCGCAGCCTCACCATGTCCCAGATGAAGTTGGCCACCCAGTACAGCAACGGCTGCACGCCGCTGATGAACTGCATGTGTTTGGCTTTACTGACTCGCTCCTGGATGAGGAAGACCACGAAGCTCGCCGGGACAAAGGACATGGCGAAGATGACGCAGATGGACACCAGGACGTCCACGGAGGTCGTCACCCTGGAGAAGGAGATTGAGAAGAGGAGGAGGGTGTGGTGAGAGGCCTGATGTTAATAATACAATTTTATATATTGTTCAGGTGTGTTGCTCAGATGTTCTGTTCAGGTGTGTTGCGTTGCTCAGGTGTTCTGTTCAGGCATTCTGTTCAGGTGTGTTCCTCAGGTGTTCTGTTCAGATGTGTTGCTCAGGTGTACTCACAGGGCGACCTGGGACAGCTGCTCCTTGGTCAGGTTCAGCGGGTGGTTAAAGGCGCTGATGCCGTACTTGCTGGGGTCTGCGCCTGCAGGCAGGTGGGCCCTCAGGATGCCGTTGTTCATGACGTTGATGAAGGCTCCGATGCTGTGCCAGCCTTTGTTGTTGAACCAGACCTGCGGAAATGACACCAAAGCTTGTTTGACAGTGTGTTCGAACCTGTCGAGCTCATTTTAACCACAGAATCCACAGCAAGCTGCCTGTCTGCGCTACTACCTAACCGTCCGAACCCAAAACTCGGCAACCGGTTTTGAAGGGATCTCATCTTAAAAAACAAATCACCAAAATGGCGACATTTATAAACCTGAAACTGTAAAAACGGAAAGAAATGTTAGATTTTCAGCTGACAGTCCTTCAATGCATCATGTGTGACTTTTTTTAGAACTGAAGCTTATGATCCTGATATTTACTCAAAATTCTTTTTTTTTTTTTTAAATTAGCCCAAAATAAATAATTTGCAGTGACTAGATTCTGTAAAAAAAAAAAAAACTAAAATCTGTTACTGCACACTCAACTGTAGAGTCATAACCGACTCCGCTGTAACCAGATGTCAGGTGGCGATTGTTTCCACGGAGCAGAGAGGAGACGAGGATGGAAACGTCTCTCTGAGGTAGTTTTTGCACATGAGTGTTTTCACTTTTTATCTGTTTTGTGTTGGTTTGAGTCTCTGTTTTTTCTGCACCTCTTTACCATTTTTCTGCATCTTGTAGCTGATATTTTGTGTCTTTGAGGCCATTTTGTGGGTTTATTTGTTCATTTTGTCGGTTTTCTCTGTTTTCTGTTAACTGAGAGTGTTTGTGTTGCTTTTTCATCTCTTTCAGGCCATTTTGTGTCTCTTCGCAGTTTGTTCTTTTGAGCTCTGCATGTGTATTTTTGTTTATTTGTTTCCATCTGTTTTTATGTTTATATTGCAGAAACACTGACAAAAAAAATGTTCTTGTGCTTCAGGGTGTGAGAAGAGGCGTTTACTGCCGTGTTTCCTCACCTTGACGTTGTTCTTGGTGTCGAGGCCGTTGATGAAACCGGACAGACTGTCGAGGAACCGATCTGCTGCAGCTCCCTGCAGAAACAGTTCACACAAGTTTGCCTTTAGAGTTTCTATCATGGACATCAAACTCAGCTCAACACTCGATCTGCTTCTTTACTTTCCTCTTTCCTTCGTGTGACTCAGACTTGAAGGTGATATGATGTTTTGAACTAAAACGCTGTATTTTAATGTCTCTCTAACTAACCTTCTGTAACTCAAAGATCTTTCGAACTCTCTCGATGGCGTCGTCGATCTCATTGGCCGGTGGCAGGACCTGAGTGCTCCTGGCGCCCAATGAAAAGCCTCCATACCTGCAGGGAGATGCAAACTGAGCGATGGAGCGTCTGGAAACAACAACCAGCTGCCAGAAAGAAATAGTCACTCACCTGAACTCGTTGACCCACACTTTGTTCTTCAAGCTGTGGAAACAGACAAACTGTCAGCTCAGGTGTGTGCAGGTGTGTCTGACAGGTGAGTCGGACTGTGTCTCACCTCTTGCCGATGATCTGAGCGTAAGTCTTCACCAGGTAGTCGGAGATGTTTCTTCCTGTCAGGTTCTGCAGAGTGTCGGTGGCGCTCAGCATCATCTGTCAGGACATTTAAACACGCTGATCTTTACAAAGCACTAGTTCCAGAGATCACATCTGTCTTCACTGTGTCTCATTTTTCACTTCAACATAAAGTCCTGCAGCTCTATGGAAACAGAACCATGAAGATGGAGGGAGAACTCAGGAATGTCTGCTGTGTAATATGACACAGTTACAATGAGGGGAAGAAAAGTGTAGCTAAAATTGAAAGGACCTAAATGAGACAAAACTGTCCAAAGAACAACACAAAACCAATAAAAACAAGACAAAAACTAAAGAAAATGACCACGAAGACAAAAAAGTGCATGTTGACCCTATTTTTTTTTTATTTTTACATGGTTGTAAAAAAAAAGTAATATATAAAGTGTTTCTGTCTTCTGATTTCTGTCATTCTAACTGTATAGTAAATATTCCTGAGTTCTGTCTCCTCCTTCATGGTTGTTCAGTTTCCACAGAGGTGCAGGACTTTATATTGCAGTGAAAAACAAGCCCATGGTGAGAAAAAATTAACTCACAGGGAGGAAAAACGAGTGCATGAAAAGAAAAATTAACCCACAATGAGAAAACACAAGGAAAGTGACAAAAAACACAACAAAAATGAACCCACAGTTTAAAAAAATGGGTGCACAGTGAGGAAACGGTGAGGAAAAACAAGCTTCCTTTAGTGAAAAATGAGCCCACAGTGAGGAAAAATTAGTTCACAATCAGAAAGGACATATCAGTTGATTGCATGGTGTTGCTCCAATGCACTGACCTCTGGGGGGGGCAGACCTCCGGCTCCTGGAGGGCAGTCCGGCAGCATCTTCTTGCGGCCATCGCAGCTGCAGAAACAGGCCGGAGACGGATCCTCCATGGTCCAGTTCCCAGAGCTGAACAGCTGCTGGACGCTGTCGGGGACGTCGGGGGTGTGCCAGTCCTCGTCACCCATCGTACAGGGAGCCTCTCTGAGGGTAGGACGGAGGGACCAGAATCAGACAACAAGAAACTCAGAGCCACATTGGAAAAAATAAACACTTTTAACTGTTGCTTTTTGAAGATTTGACCAGATTTTCCCCGTTTTGTTAATTAACAGACGATAAAAACACAGAAATAAAGTATTAAATCAAACAAAAAACAAGCTGAAACTGTAAATAATGTCCACATCAATGACTGTAAAATCAGATATTTTTTTTCTGCATTTAAATAAGCAACAAATATAATTATTTTCCAGATATTTGCCGCTATTTGAAAGATTATTTTGTATGTTAAGGACGAGAAGATTCTAAATATTTTTTTCCTATTATTTAAGACTTTTTCTTGTTTTGTTAAATTACAGATGATGCATAGCAAGATCACAGAAATAAAGAATTAATTCACACATTGACTGACATGAACATACTAATTAGTTGTTTAACTGTGAATTTTTGCACTCTTTAACTGTATGTCACTCTGTTAAAACTATTATTATTTTACAGCCGTTTGTCGTCATTTTCACAGTTTTCACAGTGTCTGGATGTTGCAGTAGTTCACTGTTTAATGTATTTTTTCCGGCTCCCTTACTTTTTTGCGGATCTGGAGAGGTTTTCTGTGATCTGTGATTACTAGCTGGTGTTAAAGAAGTGTCAGAGCAAATCGATAATGTCACACAAACAAAAACAGGACGACGTTTAGAGGACAGAGTGGTTGTGTCTTACGGGATGGGATGTCCGTCCATGCAGCGAGTCCCGAAGCCCGGAGCGTCCAGCAGAGAGTTCAGCAGCTTCTGCATGTTGGGGTCTCCGGGAGCGTCGTCGCTGTCAGAAGAGAGAGGAAGTAAAACCACCTGGAAGCTCAGAGGCCAACATTTATGATATGTTAAGTCACCGTTTACAGGATTTCCACAGTCACAATTACACTGCAAGATAAGATAAGATAAGATAGACTGTTTCCCAGTGGAAATTCTTGTGCCAGATGCTGCTCAGAAAAAAAAGATCTGAACAAGAAGAAATGATATAAAAAAAAAAACTATTAAGTATAAGTATACACTGATACATTAATAAAAATAAAAATAAGTAGCTAAAATGAGACCAGAATAAAAGGCTAAGAAGTCACAGTGGCACATGTGGCACTGAAGGAGCGATCTGTACCTGATGAAGGTCACCTGGTCCTCGTACATCCATGGCTGCAGCTCCACACTGGGATATTTTCCAAACGGCGGCACAATGAGGCTGAAGACCAGAGCGATGCAGACGAACACGGCGGGAAGAACGATCTGAAAGACAAACGGGTCACTTCCCAGAAGAAACCTCGGAGCAAAGCTCTGATGGGAAATGTGTTTGACAGACGGCGGCGTACCTGAGCGAAGAAGCCCTTCCTGGAGCGGCGAGCGTACAGGAAGCGTTTCCACATCAGAGCCACGAACTGCTGCCTCTTCAGACTCCAGCCTGTGACCTGATACGAGCCTTTACCGTCAGTGCAGTTCAGCCAGTCCGTCTCTCGGCATTCTGACAAGAGTCAAACACAAGACGCACCAATCAGACAAACCTGAGGGTCACGTCTTCAGAGTCAAACAGACGCGCTGACAGTTTGGACACACGCATGAAGATAGAGGAAAACACTACAAGCAGACATGAAACCTGTTAGAAGAGAGCTGGAAACACCTGAAGGACCTCTGCTGTAAGAACTACAGAGGTCCTGTGTAAATCTGGAAAGATATAAAACAACCTAAATCAGACAAAAACCAACTACATAAAGATATAACGATCACAAAAACATGCAGAGCAAACTTAACTAGACACAAAACAACCAAAGTGTTTTACAAAGAAACTATGAATAAAAATCCTTTCATTCATAACCAGGAAAAGAGAAATAGCAAGGAGCTGATCTCCAGGGAGAGACTAATGAGTCTGAAAGTCTGCTGGGTTTTCATGTGGAAGCTCTGTTTTAACCCGCTACATCACCATGGTAACTGATGCTGCACAGCTACATCACCGTGGTAACTGATGCTGCACAGCTACATCACC